CATGTGCTCGGCTCCGGTCGGCGTTCTGCGCGGATGCGGCTGCCGGCTCTAGCCCGTGTAAACGCTGCTGGACTGGGTGTGGGGCGAGCAGGCGGCCTGCGTCAGACAGCAGGTCAGTAGAGGGACAGAACTGGGCCTGGGGCCCTGGAGATCTGGGCAAGTGGGGCTTGCCCCAGGGTAATACAGCCCGGGTGGGCCCAGGGCCCAGCACCCCGCCACGCAGCAGACAGCAGGTCAGTAGAGGGACAGAACTGGGCCTGGGGCCCTGGAGATCTGGGCAAGTGGGGCTTGCCCCAGGGTAATACAGCCCGGGTGGGCCCAGGGCCCAGCACCCCGCCACACGCCTGCCCTCGAGCAGTGGGGCACGACGAGGCTGGCCGCCCCCAGGGGTCTGCCCCCCATTGCTACATTGCCTGGCGAGTAGGGAGATCTCCCATCAGCCCCTACGCGCCCGGCTTTACTAACCCATCTCAGGGCCTCCTCAAGAGCCGGCAGCACTCGCCCCGCCAGGCACCTTCTGAGCCCCCGGATCAACGTGGATGCACCACGGCCCTGCCTCACCAGCCGGTTCCCCCGTGCCAGGCCGGGCAGTGCTCATGCACGGGAGGATGGCTGCCAGGCAGGGAGCTTCCCAGGCCCCGAGATGGGACCAGCGGGGACTCCCCAACCCCAGCCCCTGGCTGGAGGCCGCGGTACCTGCTGGCTGCAGGAAGGCTCCCTCTGCACTGCATGTCCAGGGAAGGGTCCCTGAAGTCAATCTCGAAGATTTCCAGGGCGGCATTTGTGCTGAAGGAGGCGTCCAGCTGCTGAGCAGACGTTCCTAGGCAAAGAGATGCAGAGAGGGGACCAGGTGAGCGCCCGCCATGGGCCCGGGACCCAGGAAGAACAAGGCTTTGGCTCTGCAAAGTAAGGCAGCTCTTTAAAGCGGGCCAGTAGTAGCATGGCCCCGCGGCGCCCTCCTGCCTGCTTGTACGGCTCAGACACAGGCTCCAAGAAAGGCCAGATCTTCA